TCCCAGGCCGGGGTTTCGCTCCTCGCCCGCGAACCGGGTGGACACAGCTCGGGGCGTCCGCCAAGTCGCAGGCTGGAAAGCAGGCTCGCTGCCCGCCGCTGGGAACGGGCCGGGGCTGGCAATGCGGGTCCCCTCGCTTCTGAGTTATGCAACGTCGCCGCTTCCATGCCTCTCTGACAGAGGACTGAAGTCACAGGGGACCATAAGTTTGTTGTCTAACGTTCAGAGAGAAGGGGTGTCCGCCCCGTGCGACTAATCCAGTCCTAGTCGTTTCAAACTTTATCGAGAACTATTTCAGTCCTATTCAAGTGGAGCAGAAACTAGTTCTTTTATGGTGCCAACCCTGGGAAGTTCTTACAAGTCCCAAAACGCACTCTTCCTTAGTCCTCTCCTGCATGAAAATCATCAGATTATAGAGTTTTCCAACATTCCGCAGTGGAGGCGGGGGACGTGGGAGGGAACAACCAAACAATGGAATCCACTATCACAGCGATGAAAAAAATGCCACGTCTTGTTCAGTGGTTTTAACTGTGTTAGTAGGTATTGCAGTGTCCTCTAAGGACCTTAAAGGCTGTTTCGTCCTTCACGACGACCGCGAGCTTTCTACTCTTCCTCTTGATAATTTTCTATCCGGGGTCTTTTCTTGGAAACCATTGATGATAAATATTTCATGTTCTATATAAACTCCTAAAATAATCATAGTAATTTTGGCAAAATTAAAGTCCACACTTTAAAAAGATTTAACTTGAATAAATTTTTAAGATCTTACTGGCTTTATTCAACCATCCATGAATCAGGCAGCTTCTAGTCCAGCAGACAGAAAGGAGCTCAGGGGAACTTTACGAAATGAAAGACTTTTACGGGAAGAAGGGAGCGGAACAAGGAGGTTATACTAGGCAGCAAGTTACTGCAAGGTTACTTTCCTTTAGGGTATGGCAAGGGTCTATCAGGCAATTGACCTCTCTGGTGCTGATCCGACAATCCTGATGGACTGGTTTAAGATTCGGTTTCAGGAGAGCTGAAGCCATATTAAGTGTAGTCTCTGTGGGGCTTAGCGGAAGTGATTCCATTTTGCGCCTGTCC